CCTGTGTCCTTTCCCAAACTCAAAAAAGCCTATGAAAAAGGTACCAAGGGCATCTCATGGGGCCCCCTACTGACCCTGGGCCCTCTGGCAGTGCCCGAGTTTCCAAATGGTCAGTCCGCCCCTGGACATGGAGACAATGCAGGAGCACACGGGATATGGACAGAGAATTGTCACCCTATAAGAGGAAGCCCCAATCAAGGATGTTCATGGCAGGATCACTTGCTATCAGGGGTGGACTGACAACTCATGGGGCCCCCGGGCAATAGGGGATCATGGGGCCCCGTGTCCTTGCCCAAACTCAAAAAAGCCTATGAAAAAGGTACCAAGGGCATCTCATGGGGACCCCTACTGACCCCGGGCCCTCGGGCAGTGCCCGAGTTTCCAAATGGTCAGTCTGCCCCTGCTTGCTATTATTTTAATAAAAGCTGGTGCTTTAAAAATATTGAAAACGACTTTTGTAAATTATATATATATTTTATCGTTTGGCATTACAATTTGGCTTCTACAGAGCCTTGTGAGTCAGCCCACGCTGCCACAGACACAGCTTGGAGAGGGAGACACGCATTTGATTTGTGCTGCTTTGTTAGAACCTCAGTGATCCACAACAAGTCCATCTTTTAAACATTATCTTTATTTATTACGAAGTTCCAACGCACATTCACCCAGCAAGGAGAATCACAACGCCACCATGTCACGGATCATCAGCGAGCCTTCCAAGAATAGGAGAGAACAAAAATGGTAAGGAAACTAAACAAAACATGAAACTAAGACAAAAAGACTAATGAGTGGAAAGTTCCGGATCATCAATTCCAGACAGCGATTTTATAAAAAAAGTGAAAAACAACAAATGTAATCAACATCACTGCAGAGCCATCAAGCTGCCATTACCCAAATCGGCATACATGACCCGGGTTCAGTTTCGCTAGCAGCAAGCGACAAAAAAAATTAAAAGTTTGTAAATTAAATTTATCATGGAAGTCAAAATATGTACACGAGCCGCACTGCCACGGAGTTCTGTTTTTAAAATCCAACCAAAAAAAAGGAAAGTTTGTGGTGCTAAATTTATCTTGCAAATTAAAATATGTATATGAGCCGTACTGGCACGGAGTCCCGTGTTTAAATTCATGACCGCATTATTTTGGGTATCATTTATTATGTATAAGTGCATTCACTTATTTATGATGTTACATTCTAATACAACACAATATTACTGCTTATCTATTAAGCTAAACAGCTCCAGCTGGGATCCGAATGGAACCTGACTTCCTTCATTTGTTAAAGGACGCCAAGGATTAACAATAAAAAAGCCATTTGTCCGTTTATACAGCCCATGAAATGGTAATGTTACTTTAATTTGGGCTGATGACCTGCAATCTTTCTTTGTATTTCAGTGGATCTCTGGGAAAACTGCTAAATACATGACTCAGATTTATATAGGTGAATTGTTTTGCTTGCCAAAGGATTTGAATTCAGTTCGGTTCGGCTGGGCTTGTGATTGACATATTCCTCCCAGACAGCATAGGTGGGAGAGTTACCCCATTTGTGCTATCCCAGTCTGGCGTCTTTCTTGGGAGGTCCTCCTTGTGGGTCACCTTCTCCTATAGGCTGCTTAAACTCCTCCCACTGCGCAAATATCATTGGCTTACCAGCACTGTGCCGAACCATAAGCCCTGGTTGGCTTTCTGTCTTCCTACACTCAAGATATAGGCAATGTTAAGCCAAAAACACATCGACTTCAGGAGGCATCCCCCCTCCCTTCCGAATGATGAAGGATACAGCATGTTCTGTCTAGAGCCCTGGTGCCCAACCTGCGGCCCTTTGGCACTTTTGTGTGGCCCTTGGGGGCCAATAACTCTTATAGCATATGACAGTTTTTTACAGTCTCTTGTAGCATACTCGCAGTCTCTGATCATCTCTTGTAGCATGCCATCGTCTCTGACCATGTCCTGTAGTATGTCCGCAGTCTCTGATCATCTCTTGTAGCATGCCATCGTCTCTGACCATGTCCTGCAGTATGTCCGCAGTCTCTGATCATCTCTTGTAGCATGCCATCGTCTCTGATCATGTCCTGTAGGTTGTCCGCAGTCTCTGATCATCTCTTGTAGCATGCCATCGTCTCTGATCATGTCCTGTAGTATGTCCGCAGTCTCTGATCATCTCTTGTAGCATGCCATCGTCTCTGACCATGTCCTGCAGTATGTCCGCAGTCTCTGATCATCTCTTGTAGCATGCCATCGTCTCTGACCATGTCCTGCAGTATGTCCGCAGTCTCTGATCATCTCTTGTAGCATGCCATCGTCTCTGACCATGTCCTGCAGTATGTCCGCAGTCTCTGATCATCTGTTGTAGCATGCCATCGTCTCTGACCATGTCCTGCAGTATGTCCGCAGTCTCTGATCATCTCTTGTAGCATGCCATCATCTCTGACCATGTCCTGCAGTATGTCCGCAGTCTCTGATCATCTCTTGTAGCATGCCATCGTCTCTGACCATGTCCTGTAGTATGTCCGCAGTCTCTGATCATCTCTTGTAGCATGCCATCGTCTCTGACCATGTCCTGCAGTATGTCCGCAGTCTCTGATCATCTCTTGTAGCATGCCATCGTCTCTGACCATGTCCTGCAGTATGTCCGCAGTCTCTGATCATCTGTTGTAGCATGCCATCGTCTCTGACCATGTCCTGTAGTATATCCACAGTCTCTGATCATTTCTTGTAGCATGCCATTGTCTCTGACCATGTCCTGTAGGTTGTCCGCAGTCTCTGATCATCTCTTGTAGCATGCCATCATCTCTGACCATGTCCCTTAGTATGTCCGCAGTCTCTGACCATCTCTTGTAGCATGCCATCGTCTCTGACCATGTCCTGTAGTATGTCCGCAGTCTCTGATCATCTCTTGTAGCATGCCATCATCTCTGACCATGTCCTGTAGTATGTCCGCAGTCTCTGATAATCTCTTGTAGCATGCCATCATCTCTGATCATGTCCTGTAGTATATCCGCAGTCTCTGATCATCTCTTGTAGCATGCCATCGTCTCTGACCATGTCCTGCAGTATGTCCGCAGTCTCTGATCATCTCTTGTAGCATGCCATCGTCTCTGACCATGTCCCTTAGTATGTCCGCAGTCTCTGACCATCTCTTGTAGCATGCCATCGTCTCTGACCATGTTCTGTAGTTTGTCCGCAGTCTCTGATCATCTGTTGTAGCATGCCATCGTCTCTGACCATGTCCTGTAGTATGTCCGCAGTCTCTGATCATCTCTTGTAGAATGCCATTGTCTCTGACCATGTCCTGTAGCATACTCGCAGTCTCTGATCATCTCTTGTAGAATGCCATTGTCTCTGACCATGTCCTGTAGCATACTCGCAGTCTCTGATCATCTCTTGTAGCATGCCATCATCTCTGACCATGTCCTGTAGCATTCCATAGTCTCTAAACACCTATTGTATCTTGTCCATAGCCTTTGACCTTGTCCTGTTGTTTGTCTGCTGTCCCTGATGTCAAATACTTACTGTGCACCCTTTGGTGATGTCAGGGGCCACACTTGAGGCCCTCTATAACAAGACAGTTAAGAAAGTTGACCACCACTGGTCTAGAGGATGAGCTAATTTTACAGAGGACATGTTAGGAGCACTGTACCCGAATTGGGAGTCATGTTTTACCTCCAGTTCAATGAAGATAGCTCTCTTTTATACAGAGGGATATCCGTAATGGTCCCTGCAATAGTCTCAACAAGGTGAAAAACATAGGAGTCAAAGTCCAGTAAAAGTTTATTGATCTTGATAAAAAGTCTGAAGACAACACCAACACATTTCGGGACTCAAATCTTCCTTCATCAGGGTCAAAACAAGATGTAACATATATATATCGATCAAACGAAATAGTACCATAAGTTTACCACGTGATGTAAACATGATTGTCCTATGATATATGTATCAAGTACCATGAATACCAGATTGGTAGAGGGATGGGCTAGTACAGAACAATACAGATCCTGCTGTCTTCATTCCTGCCAGTTGTGGTGATTAGTCCTGTTGACATCTGTGAGGGGGATGTCATCACATACAATGCACGACCAGCAGTCACTTCCCACCCTAATGATATTGTGGGTACGGGCCCTTCATTGAATGTTGTGAGGTACCTGCCCACATTTCAAATCTTGTGAGAAAAAGACCAGACCACTGGCTGTCATGGGACTGCAGGTATAGGGAAGTATTACTCTTTGCTAGCCCATCCCTTAGACAAGCCGTTCTGAGGATCCCTAGAGTTCTTTCAGAAGTTGCTAAGGATTCCTTGAGCTGTGGCTGCTTAATCTTTCATCTGCATAGTTCTGGAGCAAGCTCCACTTGGCAGAGCCGCTGGTGTGACACTTATGTTTTTTTTTAGCTGTCTGTAAGGAGGGCACTCTTCCCAATGTAAAGAACATTTACCCACTGGCCACCAATTTAGGGGACATTTTTCCCATTGATGACCAATGTAAGGAAGACGGTCTTCCCACTGACCACCAATGATTATGTATTGTTTCCACTGACCTCCAACATAAAGGGTTTTTTTCCCGACTAACCATCAATGCCAGAATTCTTCCCACGTACCACCAATGTATGGGACATTCTTCCCACTGACCACCAATATAAGGAGCATTTTTATCACCGACCTCCCATGTAATGGAAATTCTTCCCCATGGCCACTAATGTAAGGGACATCTTCCCATGCTGACCTCCGAAATAAGGGACATTCTTCCCACTGACCTCCAATGTAAGGAGCATTCTTCCCAATGACCACCAATGTAAGGAGAATTCTTCTCACTGACCTCCAATGTAAGGAACATTCTTCCTACTGACCTGTAATTTAAGGGACATTCTTCCCACTGACCTCTAATGTAAGGAGCATTCTTCCAACTTACCTCCAATGTAAGGGACATTCTTCCCACTGACCTCCAATATGATGGACATTCTTCCCACTGACCTCCAATGTGATGGACATTCTTCCCACTGACCTCCAATGTAAGGGACATTCTTCCCACTGACCACCAATGTAAGGGGCATTCTTCCCACTGACCACCAATGTAAGGGACATTCTTCCCACTGACCTCCAATGTAAGGGACATTCTTCCCACTGACCTCCAATGTAAGGGACATTCTTCCCACTGACCTCCAATGTAAGGGACATTCTTCCCACTGACCTCCAATGTAAGGGACATTCTTCCCACTGATCACCAATGTAAGGAACATTCTTCCCACTGACCCCCAATGTAAGGGGCATTCTTCCCACTGACCACCAATGTAAGGGACATTCTTCCCACTGACCACCAATGTAAGGGACATTCTTCCCACTGACCACCAATGTAAGGGACATTCTTCCCACTGATCACCAATGTAAGGGACATTCTTCCCACTGACCTCCAATGTAAGGGACATTCTTCCCACTGACCTCCAATGTAAGGGACATTCTTCCCACTGACCTCCAATGTAAGGGACATTCTTCCCACTGGTCACCAATGTAAGGGACATTCTTCTCACTGAACACTAGTTTCAGGAGCATTCTTCTCACTGACCTCCAATGTAAGGGACATTCTCCCCCACTGACCACCAATGTAAGGGGCATTCTTCCCACTGACCACCAATGTAAGGGACATTCTTCCACTGACCCCCAATGTAAGGGGCATTCTTCCCACTGACCACAAATGTAAGGGACATTCTTCCCACTGACCACCAATGTAAGGGACATTCTTCCCACTGACCCTCCAATGTAAGGAGCATTCTTCCCACTGACCTCCAATGTAAAGAGCATTCTTCCAACTGATCCCCAATGTAAGGAGCATTCTTCCCACTGACCTCCAATGTAAGGGACATTCTTCCCACTGACTTCCAATGTAAGGGACATTCTTCCCACTGTCCCCACTGATCACCAATGTAAAGGACATTCTTCCCACTGACCTCCAATGGAAGGGACATTCTTCCCACTGACCCCCAATGTAAGGGGCATTCTTCCCACTGACCACCAATGTAAGGGACATTCTTCCCACTGTCCTCCAATGTAAGGGACATTCTTCCCACTGTCCTCCAATGTAAGGGACATTCTTCCCACTGACCCCCAATGTAAGGGACATTCTTCCCACCGACCACCAATGTAAGGGACATTCTTCCCACTGACCCCAATGTAAGGGACATTCTTCCCACCGACCACCAATGTAAGGGACATTCTTCCTACTCCCCAATGATAAGTAAATATTAGCTGTGGTTTCCTGAGCCCTAAAGATAATTTCAAGGGTTCCTCTGGGGCTAAGAGGTTGAGTAAAGGCTGCCCTGGACAGATCCTTCATCAGTTAACAGACTGCTAAGTGGTAGGACCAGCTTTTTTTTTGTTGTAATAAGAAAAAGAAAGAAGCTTTACTATGTTTCCTAACCACAACAATCCCAATCATTGTAATAGGTAACTAATTGACTGTACTTTTCCTGGACTGACTGCTAAGAAGGAGTTTCTGTCTTGATCGTCATCATCTGAGGGATCTCATGTGCTGTGTAGAAAGGAGGATCATTTACACCCCTGTGTAGTCATCTTAGGAGGAATCTTTGCAAAAGTGAAACTTCTTTTGCGGGAGATGCCTCTAATGTGACCACCAGCTCTGTGCAGAGAAAAGCCGTGAAGCAGTGACTCCAGCCGGAGCCTGCACACAAGGTGCATACAGAACGACCCTGTCTGCCATGTTATAGAGAAGTGGCATTTGAATTTGCCGTCAGTGTTGGAAAATCACCAGATTGAAAGGGAAAGGTCATCCCTAATGGTATTAAATTACAAAATGGCTGGTTCAGCGGTGATGTATGATTTACTGGATTATTATTATTATTTTTAGCAAAAGTAGACTTTCCATTTAAGTGTGCTTTACCTCCTATACTTATTATCCGGGGCGCTTTGAATTCTGGGAACGTGGACTAATTCGCTGTATTTGTCAAAGTTACAAACAGTCGTCCTATATAGGGCAGCTTTTATTTATAGCTTTCCTATAACACCAGAGTCCGGGATCCAAGAATCCGGCAATTGTTCTCATTATATCGAATATATTACAGACATTTAGTGCTGGAAGAGCAGCAGCTCAGTACAAGTCAGAAGTCGGTACCTGTGATGGCAACAAAATGACGATGAAATTTGGCGGCACCTGGCCAAATTTGGGCAATGACATTGACCATATATTTCCTTGGTCATGTATGGCCAGTGATGTCAACGCCATCCCTTCTTCTTCCTGGATAAGAGCGGGGAACTGTCGTTTGACTAGTGTCAACATCGGGATCAGTCGCCTGTATCTGCATGTCGGAATTGTTTTTCAACAGGTGGTGGGCATTGTGTTAATGGATATACATCAAGGGACATGTTTTTGGGATTTTTATGGTTTTAATAAAATACGCATCAAAGGTTTGGATGACTTTTTTTTCTAGTCTACAAACTTTTTTTGTTTGCGTAGGTATACTGTGTACTCCATACTCATTACCCCGCACCCCGTAATGCCTTGGGTTTGATTCGAACGGGGTTCTGTGCGCTTCAAAAAAGTTCAAATGGCAAACCCAAACACCAAAAAATTCATGGAAGCCACATCCATCAACCTGACAACCAAATCTGGCAAAGAAGCTTGTCCTCATGTTGATGAAGACAAGGGCCTCTTCCCCACATCCCTGGCCTGGTGGTTGTTGGGGTCTGAGAGTGAGGGGCTTATCAGAATCTGGAAGCCTCCTTTATTAATAAGGGGGGTTTGGTATCTCCAGGGTCCGATAAGCCCCCCTCTCAGACCCCCCCCCATTCATGTATTCTCTTTGTGTTGTCTACCACTGGACATTTGTGGGTAACTCCAGCAGGGTGGAAGGGGCTGCTCAGAGGAGCCATGAAACTCTTTGTGGATCGGGTAGAAAGCAAACAAAACTCCACCTCAATAACACATTCTGCCAGGGTTGTGGGGAAGAGGCCCTTGTCTTCCTCAACATGGGGACAAGGTACTTTGCCCGATTTGATTGTTCGATTGACAGATGCGACTTGCATTGATTTCAGTGGGGTTTGGGTTCAGCATCTGAACGTCTTTGAAGTTAATGGAATCCTGCTCAAATCAAACTCATGGCATTTCATTACTGCTCAGAATTTCACAGCATATGGGCCAAGGTTTTTAAAGGTGGAAATGTTTTTTTTAGAGGGGTCACAAGATTCTCTGTTGATGTTTTTTTTTCATTAATTTGCTTCTATAAATTATTTACAGTTTTATTCCTTTTTAACTTGCTTAGGATTCATTAGGATGGTCACTTGCTTTTTTAGCTTTTTTATATTTTCATATATTTGATCTTCCCACCCCTGTACGATTGTGGGCGTCTCTAATAGCACAACCCAGTAGAAGAGGCTGCTTAGAAGAGTCACAAGACTCTCTGTGGATCAGTTAATCATGAAAAGGTGTCTAAAAAACAATAACATTTTTGTCTACTCAAATATTTATTTATTCATGTATTCTTTTTGTGTTGTCTACCACTGGACATTTGTGGGTAACTCCAGCAGGGTGGAAGGGGCTGCTCAGAGGAGTCATGAAACTCTTTGTGGATCGGGTAGAAAGCAAACCATACTCCACCTCAATAAGACATTCTGTTTTTACTGTTAATTTGGTCACCATGTAATGTGGTCAGTGAGGGGTGAAGACTGACCAACTGCCTGGTTCTTTGAAACATCATTTTTTTTAATGGTTGAACTGGATGGACTTTTGTCTTTTTTTCAGCCAGACTAACTATGTAACTATCAGGAAAACCCATAATACTTTTACTGCTAAATTATGGGGGTGCTTTTTATAGACACCATTACATAGGTGACCACTTCAGCATGGTGGAACTATTAATATTGTAGATGTCTGAGTTTCTACTTTTGATTTTTTTTAAATACTGTTTTTCTTTTTTAGGGTATTCAAGGAATCCAAGGATTAATGGGAAGTCCTGGAGAAAGGGGATCTGTTGGAGAAGTTGGGCCCACAGTATGTACATGGGAGCCTGATATATCTAGGTTCTGGGTGGCCCATTTTTGGTCTGGGGCACCCTCTTTAAATTTGGTGCTTTCACAAAACAGGGAATCTATACGGCTGAATAGGGTGGAGGTTAGAGGAGGCCACGGCCTACCTCAACCATCTAATAGAGGAAACTCTCCTACATGGCCAGCACCAGCTGTATGTACCATTGATAGGACCTAGGAATTGTGGCAGATAAAGTGTTTTACAGCATAACTGCAATGTGTGAACTGACGTAGATGACATGTTGAAGAATATTTTAGAGGATCCTGGTGACTATGTAATGTTTTTTTTTCCATTAGTTGAATGTCATTAGTTCATGAAACTGATTCAGAATACTAACACTTAGGAAACTGTTATATGAGGTGTGGAATTGTGTTTCCATTAAAAGCAACTCAGTAGCAGCTATTTTTGGATTAACTTGAAAAAGTGATATTGCCCAGGCACAGCGAATGGATAGGCTGCTTTTCATTGATGTCATTAATTTCTAGTGAATGGATAGACTGCCTCCTCATTGATGTTCAAAAGTCTCTAGTGAATGGATAGGCTGTATTTTCAGTGATGTCACTGGTCTCTAGTGAATGGATAGGCTGCATTCTCAGTGATGTCACTGGTCTCTAGTGAATGGATAGGCTGCATTCTCAGTGATGTCACCGGTCTCTAGTGAATGGATAGGCTGCATTTTCAGTGATTCACCAGTCTCTCTCGTGAATGGATAGGGCAGTGTCATTCATCAGTGATGTCATCCGGTCTGTGACTGGTGGATACAGCCTATCCATTCACTAGCTGTATTCTCAGTGATGTCACCGGGTCTCTCGTGAATGGATAGGCTGTATTCTCAGTGATGTCAATGGGTCTCCAGTGAAGTTGGATAGGCTGCATTCTCAGTGATGTCACTGGTCTCTAGTGAATGGATAGGCTGTATTCTTAGTGATGTCACTGGTCTCTAGTGAATGGATAGGCTGCATTCTCAGTGATGTCACCTGGTCTCTAGTGAATGGATAGGCTCATTCTAGTGACTGGTCTCTGGTTAGGCTGCATTCTCAGTGATGTCACCGGTCTCTAGTGAATGGATAGGCTGCATTCTCAGTGATGTCACGGTCTCTAGTGAATGGATAGGCTGTATTCTCAGTATTGTGATGTCACTGGTCTCTAGTGAATGGATAGGTTGCATTCTCAGTGATGTCACTGGTCTCTAGTGAATGGATAGGCTGCATTCTCAGTGATGTCACTGGTCTCTAGTGAATGGATAGGTTGCATTCTCAGTGATGTCACCGGTCTCTAGTGAATGGATAGGCTGCATTCTCAGTGATGTCATTCTCAGTGATGGTCTCTAGTGAATGGATAGGCTGTTGATGTCACTCTCAGTGATGTCATCGGTCTCTAGTGAATGGATAGGCTGCATTCTCAGTGATGTCACCGGTCTCTAGTGAATGGATAGGCTGTATTCTCAGTGATGTCACTGGTCTCAGTGAATGGATAGGCTGTCTCACCGGTCTCTAGTGAATGGATAGGCTGCATTCTGGTCTCTAGTGAATGTCACCGCTCTCTAGTGAATGGATAGGCTGCATTCTCAGTGATGTCAGCAGTATCTGGTAATTGGATAAGCTGCATTCTTCAAGATGCCAGTGATCTTTGTTTATTTATAGGGTTGTATATTCTGTAGGTTCATCAATTGCTCACCGGTCTCTAGTGAATGGATAGGCTGCATTCTCAGTGATGTCACCAGTCTCTAGTGAATGGATAGGCTGCATTCTCAGTGATGTCACCGGTCTCCAGTGAATGGATAGGCTGTATTCTCAGTGATGTCACCGGTCTCTAGTGAATGGATAGGCTGCATCTCAGTGATGTCACTGGTCTCTAGTGAATGGATAGGTTGCACTCTCAGTGATGTCATCGGTCTCTAGTGAATGGATAGGCTGCATTCTCAGTGATGTCAGCAGTATCTGGTAATTGGATAAGCTGCATTCTTGCCAGTGATCTTACTTATTTATAGGGTTGTATACTTTATTACTCCTCTGGCTCCACAGGGTCT